CAAAATTTGTTTTGTATTAATCAAGCTATAAGGCTCCCATTGCCATAAGGGTCATGGGAACATCAGGGCCACAGAACCTTTGTAATCTTTAGAACTGGCTTCCTCTGAATAGTCTAGATAATAACTTAAGTCAGCCAGTCAAATCTACCCCCTTCATTCCATAATATTTTGTGCTACAAAATAAGTTTCTCATTTTCAGGTATCAACTACTTTGCTCCTGTGAGATTTTTTTTTTAAACTGCAGATATATCAGTGTATTGGAGATACTCATTTGGCCCATCCTGTGGACCTAGTTAACTAGTTTGACTGGATGGCATTTCATTTGGATCTTTCTCAGAATAGCTTATCTCAGCTAATGGGAGAGGTAGATAACCTCATAGTTTCATATGAACTGAAATTCTGCTTTGGAGAATGCCTACTTCTGCTGCCTATGTCTCAGATAGTTCAATGAATAGGTGGCACTTATCTATGTTTTTATGGAGTTGGAAAAAAGAGAAGCAGTGAAATATTTATACAGTGTTTTTATCATTGCAAAAATGTTTTACGTACATTCTCCCTTGGTCATCACAATACTCTGTGAAGTTCTTCCAGTTGATAGTGCTCATCTTCCCCAATGCGTTTTTGTATTTTTTGTTTTTCGTATTTTGTGTATGTTGTATTTATCTCAGTCGTTCGTTTTCACCCCACACATACCTCAAACCTCTTCTCCTTCAGGTGTAAGCTCCTTGAGAATAGGGACTCTTAGATTTTTGGCTGTTTTGTCTTGGAAACTGCCGTGATAACCTGCCACGTTAAATGGAGTCAATACTTGTAGAATTAAGTACTGTTGAGTTAAATTAAATTAGATAATGCAAGTATGTTACCCAAATATTCTGACTCAAAGTCTAGGACTCTTCCTAGTACAACATGATGTCTCATAGATATTGAATGCCAAAGTGGTAGTGGTTATTTTATTTTGTTCACTGGCCACAGAATATACCTGAACCCTAATAAAATGGCCTATCAATTTATGGGTTTTTTTGTCATGAGAGAGAAAGGGGGATGGGATGTGAGGGAAGAGTATGACTAGATCATAGAATCAAACAGACTCCAAATAATATATAGCTTGTATTTAAAAAATTATGTTGGTTTAGAACATTTTCCCATGGAAATAGTGTCATAAGTGGGAATTAGATTCCTACGTGAGCCTTTAAATTATATTAAATCCTTAATAAGGATGCATTATAATCCTTATGTCATGAACCAGGCCTGTGAGGTACAACAGAGAAGAGAAAAAGAAATAGAAAATTTTGTCCTTTTTCCCTTTCCTCTACCACTATGGGACCCCTTCTAAAGCACTACCCTGGGCAGAAATTTGAAAATAAATGAAATTTGTCTTTGGCATCCTCCTACCTTACTTTCTATACCCTCCACATTGCCCCAAGTCTCATTGTGGTATCTCACCCAAGCCTGCTTTAACCTCTAAAATTGCTCAGCTACCTCCTAGTCAAAAACTCCCTTCTGGTCAATGGGGCTTATCTCGCCTAGAGGCCAGGGAGAAATCAATCTCATTGAATAAATTCAAAATAATGTATGCCTAATCTCAAACCCCACAACTTTCCCAGAGTAATTGGTGTTTTTAACAAGAAGATTCTTATTAATGAAGAATCTCTAACTGGTGGCATTTCAGGCAGTTTATAAAAGTCGTTCAGACAATAAGCTTTTATTAAGTGCTTTCTATGTGCTAGGCACTCAAGGAATGCAAAGAAAGGCAACAGAGAAGAGATATTTGCTAATTGATCTAGGGGCAGAGCAACTCTTCCCCTCCCCTCTCCTTTCCTCTCCTGTTCTTTTCACAGCTTCTTTCTGTTCTTGACTTCTGAGCCCTCAAAGTTTTTCCATGAATTGAACAGCAGTGAGTGTGGGGCCACCATTTTAGAGGGGAAGGAGAATTTGTAAGACGGGTGTTTATAAATGAGGATTGACTTCTGTAGCTTTTTCATGTAGGAGTCACTTATTCACCAAATAATTTTAAGCACTCACGGGCCAGGCACTATGCTAAGCAAAAACAGCCTTGCTCTCAGAGAGCTCACATTCTAAGGGGAGGAGAGGACAAGCCTACAACTATGTACATACAAGCTATATACAGAGTAAACTGGAAGCAGTTTCAAGGAAGGTCCTAGCTCTGGAGGGGTACAGGGAAAGGCCTCTTGCAGAAGATAGGATTTGAGCTAAGCCTTGAGAAAAGTGGAGAGGCCAGGAGACAAGTGAGGAAGAAGAGCATCCCAGGCATGAAGAGTCAACTCTTAATACGGCACAGAGTTGGAAGGTGGAGTGTGGCATGCAAGGAGCTTCAAGAGGACCAGTGTTACTGGATTGTTGTCTGGAAAGGGGCTATATCATGAAGGATTTTAAAAGCCAAGCGCAGGATTTTGTATTTTATCCTGGAAATAATAGAGAGCTATAGAGTTTAATGAGTAGTAGAGTAACACGATTGGGCCTGAACATTACAAAGAAAATTGGCCACTGCAGGGGAGAGAAAATTGAGGTAAAGAGACCAACCAGAAGGCTGTTGTAATAATCTAGGTGTGAGATTATGAGTGTTGGCTGTGTCAGAGAAGAGAAGGAATCTTTTGTAAGAGATATTATAAAGATATAAAAGATAGGACTTGGGAAAAGATTGGATATATAGTTGATTGGTTGGAAAGAGGGTAGAACATTTACTGACAAATTCAGAGATTCACTGAGGGACATCTATTTGTTGGAAGAGAGATTGTCTGCAGGTGGTCATTTACCTGGAGCCTTTAAGAAGTGGCCTCTGAATCAGTGTGGTACTATGGAAGTGGATTTGGAATCAGAAGACCCTGGGTTTAAATCCCCTTATTACCTGTATGACCTTGGGGAAGTCACTTTACCTCTGTGGTCTCAGTTTCTTTATGCATAAAATGAGGTAGTTGGACTAAATGATGTCTAAAGATAATAATAGCTAACATTCATACCAAGCAGTTTACAGATAGTATCTTACTTGATCCTCACAGCAACCTTGGAGGTACGTGTTATTATTATCCCTATTTTGCAGATGAGGAAACTGAAGCAGACAGGTTAAGTGACTTGCCCAGTGTCACATATAATTGTTAAGGCCAGATATGAACTCAGGAAGAGGAGTCTTCCTGCCTCCAGGCCCAGTACTCTTATCGACTGCACCACCTAGCTGACATGTAGTATTGGGTATAGACAAGATAATACAATTTTGCCTTGTTTGTTGATTTGAGTTACTGTAAACTGTGTAGTTGGCCTGTTGAGAATAGAGGGAGATAGCTCTATTTACTTTCTATTTTGACTCTTTAAAAGAAATGAAAAATGTGATTCTAAAGTAGTAGAAAGGAGAAATAATTTATTATATAAGTATTACTTATATAAGTACTAAGTAGTAAAAAGGAAAAATAATTTATTGGATAAGTACTACACTTGGCCACATAGAAGGCAGTCAGTCTAGAATGTCAAGAGGGTCCATGAGGCATAACTCTGTGCATATATTTCAGAGACAGGTAGACACTGCATTAAAAGGTAGAATGACCTGGGTCAGGGAGGATTCAAATAGTGGTTAAGAGTCTTAACATAGGAATAAAAGACTGGGATCACATAGGAGAGTTGGTACAGTCCTGGTTAGGGTGTTTATCTCTGAAGGCTTCAGCCAGATGAGACCATCTTGGCCTCTAGTCTTCACAGTCAGCCTGCTTGGACTTTTGCCTCTACTTTCTTCCCTTGGGCTTTAATCAGGGCTCTCCAGGCAGAATGGAAATTGATAAGTTGTTACTAGGATGGCCCAAGAGCTAAATTTGTAAGATTTTAATGAACAAGCACACTTAATGTTTATACATCTGAAAAGTCACTTCTGAAGTCATCACCTTGGGAGGTTATACTTGTTCTATCAATTCTATTGCTCATGATGTTTTAGAAGTTCCTTTTTTGGAATTGACCCTTAGAACTAGTTCATATTCCCAACTCCATTTTCTCTCCCACCCCTAAAATTCAGTTGTATTTGTTTATGACTATTAACTTTTTTGGTTTGTTTAAAAATAATGTTATCCAGCTTGACTATCTCTATTATATGCTAGATTTGGCCCTAAATATGTCTGAGACATTTCTAAAAATGTAATCCATCCTCTGATAGCAATAATTAGCATTTATGTAGCACTTTTAAGATTTACAGAGTGTTTTAAATTGTGTCATTTGATTTTCACAATAACAAGCATAGAGATGTGAGGCAATTTGCTTATGGGGACATGGCTAATATGTGTCAGAATTCAAATCCAAGGCTTTCTTTGACCCCATGCCCAATGTTTTTTTCAAAGGCAAAGATTTGTCACTATTGAGAATAATCAAAAGAATATGCCTTAGACACTAAAGTCATTTTCAAAAGGGAAGAACCAAAAGATGTTGCTTTGTAAGTTGACTGCTTTGAATGCAGCAATACTCATCTAGATATTTAGTGTCCTTACATCTTCCCTCTCTCCCTTCTTCCCTTCCTCGCTCCATCTTAAAACTGAGTCTTCTAATCTCTCCCAGGCTGTAGGTGCAATGGCTTCTCGTGATCTGGATCCCTTGTGATCAGCTTGAGCTTTGATATGTTCAGTTTCCAACCTGGGCCAGTTTCCTCCTCTATAGGGAAGGGCCTAAATGTTCCCCTCCCTCCTCCCTTCCCAGAAGTTCAGTATAAACCTAGTGTGGTCTTTATCTTGTCTTCTGAAGAGTCATTATTGGGTCAGGAGACTTGGATTCTGGTTCCAGCCCTGCCACAAGTTACCTGGTTTACCTTGAACAAGCACTTTCACCCCTATGGGTCTTTGTCTTCCCTCTTCCATAAAACAAAGTTCTGTGAATCCATTTTACTTCATTACACCTCACGTAGCCAAGGAAGCTAATGTTCATTTGTTTCTGTTTTATGCTTCTGTGGTTGTGTTTAAACTTGTCTAGCCCTCTTCTTGAAATGGAGAAAATTGATAAATCATGTTTTATAGGTGGGTATGGAGCAAGAGCTTTAAATATGAGGCGTGATCCGCTGATTATGAAAGACTTGGGCAAGAATTTCCTTTGACCCTGGGCCGGGATGTCTCTGGCGTAGTGATGGAATGTGGGCTTTCCGTTACCTATTTCAAACCTGGAGATCAGGTGATGTAACCCAATACTGCTCCTGCCTGTTACCTGCTTTACCTTTTTTTTATGGCTTGAAATTTCTTTTGGGTGACTTCATTCTAGAACACAATCATCAGTGACAGTGCCTGGTTGATGACCTTATTTTGTTCACATTACTTCCTGACCTCTTTGTCTAGTGTTTCCTTGGGCTTTCCATGGAAGAGTTTTAAAATTCTAAAATAATTTCATTCAGCAACATTCATGTGGACAGTCTGTTGTACTAGGCATTCTTGGTGTCCTAGTACAGAGTATCCATCCAATTTAGGAATTAGAAGAGCTGGGTTCTCTTCCTGCCTTTGCCACAGACTGACCATGAGACCTTTGATAAGTCATGTAATTTCTTTAGACCTGCTTCCTTATCAATAAAATGAAAGGGTCAGATTAGAAGAGCTCTTAAGTTCCTTTTCAGCATAATGTTATCTGAAATTCCAAGATGGGATTCTTGCCTTCTGGGGCAATAGTTTGATTTCTGGATTTTCTTAAATCCATACCTTTTGGGGGGGAAAAGGGGAGAATATCTGGGAGATATATTTATATATAAGAATTAACGTTTGGGGCTATTAGTTTCTTATAGGAGCTCTTAAATGATAGTTCTTATCATTTAAGTTTTCACTTTTAAAATTGCTGAAAGTCTGGCATAGAAAATAGATGTAAACCCTCAGATTAATTGTTTCTTATTTTTAGCACTACACTTTCATTAGGAGTTTTCTTTTGCTAATGAACATTTCAGGCCAGCTGGGTTTTGTTTGCTTTCAGCTTTTCTCAACTACTTTAGCACCATTCAGCCTGCTTACTTAATTTTTTTTTTAAGTTCTTTTCAAGAACACAAATACAGTGGGATGTGCTGGCACCAGGCTCTAGTATGGTGAGGCTGTGCCCACTGAAGCATGCTAAGTTGTAGATTGACTCCCACTTGAAAATCATTTTGATTATAGTATACATCAATGTACTGTTGGTGGTTACTTTTGGAGAGAGTAGGCTATGTTTTGAGAAAGAGAAGCTCTTTTAAATTCGCTAGATCAGAATAGAAATTTATTTTAAAATATTTATGTTTATATATGGATTTTTTTTTTAGGTGTGGGCAGCAGTTCCTCCATGGAAACAGGGCACTCTATCAGAGTTTGTCGTAGCCAGTGCAAATGAGGTAACTACATGAAGTTTTTCATGAAATCAGAGAGAGTAAACAGATGCTTGTTGGAAAGCATTGGCTGGTTTCAGGACCTGGTATACTTTGGGGGCATATATACTTCGGGGGCAGTCATCAGGAAGGAGGAAGAAAAGGAACTTTTGTAAGACAAAAGCAGAATTTTATATCAGAAGGCTCTCCTGACTTCTTAAGATGGGGATTTAGAATAGAGCTCAAGATGTTTCCCTGGCTTACGTGAGAAACGGGATCCATGTTCTTATCTCAGGAGGCTGAATATTTGAGCAGAGAGGGAAAGGGGCGGGGGGGGGGGGGGGGGCTGGCCAGCAGGATATCAGGTAGAGGAAGGGAAGAGGGAATCTTTTGTTTCTCACCTAAGTGAATGGTGCTTTGAGAGGGAATACAGTAATCTTAGGTGGTCTACCTAAACTCTCCATTGAACCTGGCTATCTATGAAGCCAGATCCACTCATTTGGTTTTAAGACTTAGGGATAATTTGGAAGCTTTAGGCCATGGGCTTCGAAAGACCTCTTAACTAAACCTTGAATGACAAAGATTATAGCATCATAAATGACAATTTGAGCAGCTTTAAATGTAACCTGGAAAAGAGGAAAGAGCTTTGCTTTTGGAACTGGGAGACCTTAAGTTCTGCCCTGACACATCTTAACCATGTCATTGACTTCCCAGAGTTCTAGGCACCTGTCTGAGACTGTAATTTCTAGAGAAGGTGCTGTCCTGCATTAATTAATAGAGAAAGTTCACTAGCAGTCAACTCATAGGAGTTCCCTATATCAATGAAATTACAGGTCTGGTTCCTATCTCTACTTAAAAGCAAGCTTATTTAATTTATTTTGGTATGAACATGTAAGTAATTGCTTGTCCATGACATTTTTATCTTCAAATATAGGTGTCTCGTAAGCCCAAGTGTCTCACTCACACTGAAGCTGCTTCCTTGCCCTATGTTGCTCTCACAGCCTGGTCTGCTCTGAGCAAGGTTGGTGGGCTGAATGACAAGAACTGTAGTGGAAAACGGTAGGAACCCAGACATATCCTTGGCTTTTGGATTCCACCCCACCCTATCCCACCCCCACCCCCTTCCCCCAGCAAATATTTCAGAAGCATCATTCACATTAGAGATCAGCTATTGACTTATGCAGAGTGGGTCCATTGACATCTGGAACATTTGCAAAGCAGGCTCCAACTTAAAAATGTACTGTGTTCCCAAAAGACATATTTCTGAGTTGGCTCTTTGAAAATAAGATATTTTCCCATAGATGTTTGTATTGTACAGAAGTTCTGCCCTGTTCATTAGCCTCTTTGTGTTGTGAATGAGGATCTGGATTCTTCAAATATTAGGCCAATATAGGACTGATTTCTGTTGAGGTCAATACCATCCTTCCAATCACCTGAGTTTTCCTCATCACACATATCCAGTTAGTTTGCCAGATCTTGGAATTTCTACCTCCATAACATCTCTCAAATCTGTTTTTGTTATTCATAGCTATTGTTCTTATCTTGTCTTTGTATTCCTAGTGCCTGGTATGTACTAGGCATTTAATAAATGCTTATTGATTCATTGAAAGTTTACAAAGGATTTTCCTAGCAAAAACCCTGTGAGGTCAGTTGTATATTATTATCCCTATTTTGCCAATGAGAAAACTGAGGCTAAATGACTTGTCTCTGGTTCTGTAACTTCTAAGTAGCAAAGCTGGGGGTTTTTGACTTTAAGTCAAGTATTTTGTCCTTCTCTACTGTGTAGCTGAAACCTCTGGCAGGTTCTACCACACTGAAAAGGTTTCAATTCTAAGCCTGGCTTTGGTCTGGATATCTGTTGTCTGATGACTGAGATTGAGAAGGCTCGTCACCAGAGGCTTGACTATTCAGTTGGAAGTATTTTAGAGCTCAGCAGCTCTTGGAACCATTCTGCTGTAGCATGAAGAGGTGGTGAACTGCACCATTTGAGGGAGTACTCTGCCCCATCTCCCCCCCCCCAAGTCTCAGATCTTTTAATTTTAATTTTACTTTTATTAACAGAGATAGTAACAAAAACAAAGAATCATTGAAACATACAGAATGAAGAATAAATCTTATATACTTGCTAATTATAAGTAGTTGTTTTATAACTAAGTAGAAACAAATGCATTTTGCTCTAGCACTTAACCACTATTCCTGACACATAGTTGGTAACCCCCTTCTCGATTCTGTGTGAAGTTCCACTGCCTTTGACAGAATTGTAGTCAGTTCTTGTATAGTTCTGGTTCTGCTGATCTCATTACCTAATATTAGCCCTTTCCATTTTTTTGTATGTTTCATATTTTCTGACTCAAATTCTGGCACCATAATATCATGTTACATTAATAGACCATAATAAAAATTTATTCTACCATTAGACATATGGGTTGTTTCTAATGTATTTTACCATTACAAATAGAACAGCTAATAGTATTTGAGTACAAATAGGTCCTTTTTAGATTGTCTGATAATTCAGAAGGTATGATCAGTTCTGTGACATTATATCTTGCCATTTTGCCTTCCAGAATATTTACACCACTGTAAAATTTCACCAGTAACATACAGTTGATCTGTATTATTAGTGAATTCTGTATTTGTGAATTTGCTTGCTAAAAATTTTTTTGTAACCTCCAAATCAATACTTGTGGTGCTTTTGCAGTCATTTGTGGACATGTGCAGTGGCAAAAAAACAGTCCAATGCCCACATTCACAGCTGAGGTTGAACAAAGCGACTCCATACCATCTTGTTTCTGCTGTCCTACTGTAAACAATATGAAGGTATTTTTCATCAATATGAAGGCAGTTTTTGCGGTCTTTTTAGTGCCATGTTTTTCACTTTTTTTGTGCTTTTTGTTGCTGATTTTGCAGTTTAAAAATGGCCCTCAAGTGTGGTGCTGAAGTGCTGTCTAGTGTTCCTAAGCATGAGAGGGCTGTGATGTACCTTATGGAGAAAATACATGTGTTAGATAAGCTTCATTCAGGCATGAGTTATAATACTGTTGGCTATGAGTTCAGTGTTGAATCAACAATACAATACATCCAGAAAAAGGAAGAGGAGATTCTGTGATCCATATGGAGGCCTCTCTGCAAAGTGCCTAAGTAAATCTGTGACCAGAGGCTCACAGAAACCTAACCTGATATTTCCCCAGGAGCAGAGCTTCATTGTTTGCTAATTCAGTGACTTTATAGCACATAACTACCATGAATGATGAGAGTTGACTGGATTAGAATGACTAGTTTCCCCATAGCCCTGCCAGTGTTTTTTTTTTAATTTAAGTTTTAATTTTTTGGCTAAATTTTGCCATTATAGTAAGAGAAATCACGGGTTTTTTGAAGCACAGTATTGTGTTGCAGTATTGCTGTGGAAGCTAAATAACTATTGTGTCCAGTGTTTCTGCGACAAAATATATTTAGAGATGTACTTTGGGACATACCAAGAATACATCCTCCATATACCCCTCCTCCCCTTTGTCTATAGCCCTGACATCCTTCCTCTGGCCTAGAAGTAGGAATGACTTGGGATAGGGGCAGGGGCTTCAGCAGGTTGGGGAGCTAGTCCTAGCAGGAAAAAGGTAATAAGGGCAGTAAAAAATGTTTAAAAAGTGAAGAGTGAGAAATCGCAAGGGGCTGGGACTGTAAACCTTGGAGACATTTTTTTACACCATTTTTTTTTCCTGAAAGTCCCAGAAATTGGCTTGCCAGTTTCTCTTTCCTCTTCTACCATCTATTGTTTTCAACAGTGTTTCATAGTAATCAGGATTTTGGAGCAGGAGGGTAGCCCAGCGTTAGACCTGTTGTCTGATGCCTTCATTTTGTAGATGAGGACAACTTAAGCTTAGAGAGTTTGTTAATAAGAATGATAATCTGTGATTTTATCTCCTAAAAAATTCCTGAAGTGGAAACTCCCTCCATTAATGCAAAGCAAAACCCATCTCTGACTTAATAAAAGTCTTAGGGATTAGTGCCTGAACCATCTAGAGGTTAAAAGCTGGATTTGAAGCCAGATCTTCATGACTTTCAGCCTGGCATTGTATTCATTACGCTACATTACAAAGCAATTTCCTCATGACAACGGTGGGTGGTAAATGAGACAAGTAGTAGCTTCCCTTTACAGAGGAGGAATCTCAGGTGCACAAAAAGCAGCATTCAGAGCAACATGACTGGTTTCTTTCCTTATGTGACTCACCATGGAACACAGCACACTTCTCAAACTTCTCTCCTCCTGTCCCCAAGCAAGCATGCATCCCTTGTGATGTTTTCTCAGTGTTGTTATTTTTAGTAGTAAAAATTAGAAACTGGATAAGGTATCCCTACAGTATGTTCTTTTTTTTCCCTCTTCAATACTCTTGGGAAAGACAAGAACTCACATAAGTGCTAATAGTAGGTCTTTGGATATTCAAAGGACTGAAGGAAAATTGCTTTATATTTCAGAGAAGCACCTGCTTTATAATTTCTTCACAGTATCAGGATAGCCCCTCTGCAAGGCAAGAAGAACTGGGACATGCTGAGGCTGTGGCTGCTAGAGTAATAGCAGAAGTTGTGAAGAGAGATAGCAGGAGCTTTGAGAAGTGATCAGCCCTCCTCCATGTTGCTCCCTGCTTCAGATACCTGCCAAGGGGAAGAGGGAAGGAAAATGAAAGGCAGGGTAGGGTAAAAGACAGGCCTAGGTTCAAATCCTGCTTCAGGCCACAAATAGTGGTGTGACTTAACCTGTCTAAATGTCAGTCTCTGATGTTGTACTGGATGGCCTCCAAGAGCCTTTCTGGCTCTTAAGTCCATGACACTGAAATTCCATAAAGGAAGAGGAATTGTAGCAGCTGCCTAACTGGATGACATTTGGGACCATTTTTGCATATAAGGGACACACGGACAATATCATATGCATATGATTTCCTAAAGGCTTGATTTCTTTTGAGTTTGGGGAGCGGGAAGGGACTTTCTCTGGAGAAAGTTCCTCTACCATCCCAGTCTTATTCACTGTGCAGATCTGCCTGTATCAGATTATCTTAGAGTTTTCTTTCATGAAAACCTCAGCAACAGGTGCTAACAGTGGCTTTTTAAATATTTATTTTTATTTATTAAAATTTATTTTATGTTATTTTTTATTTATATTTTGACTCAAAAAAAAAAGGTTCAGTGCCTGATTTTCATTAGACCCGTCTAAGACTGTTTCAGGTCTGAACTGATCTCTGAAGTCCCTTCTAGCTCAAATATTCTAGGAAATGACATCTTGCAAATATTTAGTGAAATTTGTAGGTCTTTTATTGTGGCTTACTTAATCCAGAAGGTATTAAACCTATTTGTTGTGTTCTCTCCTCCATCCTGTCCTCCCAAACAAACAAATGAACAAAACAACACACAAAAGCTAGACCTCTGCACTGCGGTTAGTGAATAGGAGTTCACCATGATAGATGAGGTAGGGTTTTTTAATCTTCCCAGGCTTGGATTAGACAGACAATTAGGGGAGAAGACCTTGTCCTTCTTTCCTCCAATTCCATGTGTGTTCATGTAGAATTTTAGAGTGTTTGAGACACAACTGTGTTATGTATATGGTGTTTTAGACACAATACATATGGGACTAGGAGGCTCTTCACTTATTTCCAGTCTAAACTCTGTTAATAGTAATAACTTACATTTCACCAGCGCTTACCAAGTGCTTTCTGTGGAAAGTACAACATCACTGTGAGGCAATCAATGCAAGTATTGTTACCTCTATTTTACGGCTGAAGAAAAAGTCTTGGAGTGGTTAAGTGAATTTTCCCAAGGTCATATAACTATTAAATGTCAGAACTGGGATTTGAACCTAGTTCTCCCCTGACTTCCAAGTCCAGTGCTCTTTGTATCACACCATACTCCTTAATAACCAGCTGCGTGACTTTAGGCAAATTAGTTATCCTACATTTAGGGTTTCTTTAAGGATGCAAGAGGCATTGTGGAAGGAAAAAACCACCAATGCACTTCTTTTTTTTTTTTAAAGGCAATTTGGGTTAAGTGACTTGCCCAGGGTCACACAGCTAGTG